AGTGGATCCTGGGGTGGGAAAGGAACTGAAACCCTTGTGGAACACTGAGAAAACCTGGTGGGAAATTGTCTAAGGGGGTGGGGATGGGAACTTCATGGGTGGAGGTGAATACATCTAGGCAGAGAGGTGAGAACGCCTTGGGCAAGGGGCTTGCGCTATTTTTCCTTCTCACTTTTCCTTGTTAATCCCTCCACACTCAGGTCTCTACATTGGCTGGCGCTGCCCCCATTATCTATGGGACTGTTTCCGGATTGGAGATGAGTCCAAATGCTTTTGTGGACACTTGCTGAAAGAGCACCAGATCATCTCAGGTAGGGAGAACTGACCAGCCTCTGTCAGGGGAAGGGATAACTATACTCTGGCCATATGACAGAAAAGTGTGTGTGTTGGTATGGGGGGTGGGGGGAGTTGGCATGGGAAGGCCTGGCCCTATTAGGTGTTCCCCATTCCCCATTCCCATTAGACATTTCTCCCCATTCCCTTAGACATATCCGTGCCCTGCAATGTGGGCCAGTGTCGCTGCCTCATGTTCTGCTTTATCCCATCACGCCCAGAGGAGGTGGGTGAGTTCTGGCTCAAAAGACGAGCTACCTTTGACCCCAAGGCCTGGAGGGCCCAATGTCGCTGCAAACACAGCCATGAAGAGCACACAGCTACTGGGTCCCATCCCTGCAGGGTGAAAGGTAATTTCTAGGGTGAGGGGAGTACAGGGGTGGGCATGGGTAGGATGCAAATAGTTTGGGAATAAGGATAGGGGAACTGGTAGAAGAAACCTGTGTTTGTGGTTGGTATGGAAGAGATGAGAATGTAGTCAGCCCAGGGGGAAACACCAATTCCCTATACTTGTCTGGCTTCCTCCTTGCCCCAGGTTGTTGCTGCAATTGCTTTGAGTCTAATTTCCTCTGTGCGGCCTGTGACCGTCGCTGGGAGGAACATGAGACTTTCTTTGAGACTGAGGAGACCCGGCGACGAGGAGGGAGGCCTCATGGTGAGGGGGCAACCTAGAACAGTGGGGGTCTTAGTCAGAAGGCCGGGCAGGAAGGTGCTCCCACCCTCAACCATCCCCTCCAGGACTACCTCACCCTCTCACCCGCTGCACCCCATACTTGCACCTGTTTCTACCCCCAGGAGCAGACTATATGCCTTTTGCAGAGATGCCTACCTTCCGAGAAGCCAACTCTGACTGAGGCTCTACAGAAGCAGGGGCCCTCTGGCCGTCCTGGCTCCCACTGCAGACCCCCGGGGCCTCCTGGCCCACACAGCCTCTGGCCTGACCCTTTGTCTGACTCCCTCACCTGACCCTTTCACCTCTGCTTTTCCCTCCTCCAGGCACAGACACTATCAACACCTGGCGCAGGCCTCTTTGAACCTGGCTCAAATCATCAATAAAAGGGAAGCCCCTGGAATCTGGCCTGGTTCTGTATGGGGCAAATAGATCCTAGGATCTTAGAGTTGCACATAATGCGGGCAAGAGAGAGGACCACAAAGGAGACAGGCTGGATCAAGCCAACTGCTTCCACCAAACCCACATTCGAGATGCTAGCTCTGGCATCCGAAGGACGGAGTGGCTTCAAGGAAGCCAGGGAGGGAGGGGGTTTTTGGAAGAATAGAGTAAACACTGGTGTTGGATGCAGTTGGAGATGCCAGTAATAAAGACTGAAAAATGTCCGCTGGATTTTACAATTAGGTCTTTGGGCACTTCAGATAATGTAGTTTCAGTGATGCAGTGGGGGTAGAAACCAAACCCAGTAAGTCTGAAAGAGTTTCTTTAGGAAGCTTGGATGAAAAGAGCAGGAGAGAAGTCAGACAATATCCAGAGAGAGATGTGGAATCAAGAAACAATTTTTAGGAGGGAAAAAGGGGAGGAACCAGTAAAGGAAGATCTTGAAGGATACCGAAGAGAGAAAGAGAAGCCTGGTGAGACATCCCAGAGATGGAGGGAGGAAATGAGATCAGGGCAGAGGTGAAGGGATTTGCTCTGGAGGAGAACCACCACCTCCTAAGACCAAGAGGAAAGAAGAAGGAAAATGATGGGCCTTCACTGAGCTGCAGGAAGCAGGATCTTGTGGAAGTTCTCCCTGTGAAGTAGGAGACAAGGTCAGTTGCTGGTCATGAAGGCAAGGGGTAGGAGTGGGGAGTAGGAGAGAGGAGAAGATTTGGGAAGGCTGATGTGGGAAATCACAGAAAAACCTAATCAGTGGGCAGTTGAGGATTCAAGTACAGCTGGAAGCAGGAACCTAAAGAGGAAGAGAAACACAATAGTTAGATTGAGTTAGATTGATAGCTGATGATGGGAGGGTGTCAGGAAGGATGATCAGGAAAGTCAAAAAGAAGGCTTGAGAATGTAGGGAGAGCTGACCACACAAATGGACAGAACGTAAAGCCAGGAAGCAACTGACAAACTGAAAAAAAAAGAACAAAGGAACAGAAGTCTCTAATGAGGTCCAGTAGCTGATGTAGTGGTGGGGATCAGTACAGGAGACATTGGTCAGAACCTACAGAGAACTTCAGCTCTTAGATGAGAGCATCTGCCAGGGATCACAAAGACTTGGAGTAAAGAACTGTGGGCAAGGGGCCGAAACCAGTGACTGTGGCCAAAATCAGTGAATCATAGTTATTTTTACAAGGAGTAGGAGATTCGGGCTCTAATGGGCTCTGTGATCCCAGGCAAGCCCTCTCTGGGCCTCAGTTTCTGGCTCTGTAAAAGAATAATCACTGTGCTACCTGCTTTCCCTGAGAACCCAAAGAAATAACCAGTTTCAAAGCGCTTTGTTGTCTACCATGCCTGGCCAGTTTCCTTCCCCTTCCTAGATCCCAGCTCCTCTTACCTCTTGAGCTTCTCCAAAGCAGCTCTATGGGCTGCTGCGTTCTCAAAGGCACCACAGAGAACTGCATGTAACCTCTAGGGCACAGAAAAGGCCAGTCTACATTTCCCCACATTTGGGGAAGCTAGCTATACTTCCAAAGGAAGAGATGCAATCTGGACTGCTAGAACTCCTAGAGGAAAGTACAGGGTCGAATGTCTGCCCTTTGGAGGATAAAAGGACTTTCTAACAATAATACGGCTATAGCAAATGTGGTTACTATCTCTGGAAGTAAAGAGTTGTTCTTGGCTGGTGATATGCAATTAGCGCCATAATGACCATTCACTAAAACTAATTCAATAGTCAGCAGTAAAGCAATGGCTACTGTGAAAACTCATTCAAACAAATAATATGCAGAGGGTGCCTTTGTGGCTTAGTCACTTGGGCATCTAACTTGGGCTCAGGTGGTGATCTCCAGGTCCTGGGACGGAGCCCTGAATGGGCTGAGGCATCCTGTTTCCTGCTCAGCAGGGAGTCTGCTTCTGTCTTCTCCCTCTGCCCCCATCCCACCGCTCATTCTCTCTCTCTCTCAACTAAAGTAAAATCTTAAAAACTAATAATAGGCAGACATTACAAAGTATATTTACACAGACTAATAATATGGAAAATTGATTGTCAGGGGCATTACATATTATGAAATATTACATATTATGTAATATTTTAAAACATTTTTTTTAAAGATTTTATTTATTTATTTGAGAGAGAATGAGTGAGAGAGAGCATGAGAGAGGAGAAGGTCAGAGGGAGAAGCAGACTCCCCAAAGAGCTGGGAGCCTGATGCGGAACTCGATCCTGGAAGTCCGGGATCATGACCTGAGCCGAAGGCAGTCGCCCAACCAACTGAGCCACCCAGGCGCCCCATATTTTAAACATTACATGTTTTAAACATATATATTTTAAACATATTACATATTATGAAAGCAAATGAAACACCAAATATTATTCATTCCACAATCATTGAGCACCTATCTATGTCAAGGACATGAACTAAAAAAAAAAAAAAAAACCTAAAGATACAGTGGTGGCTTTTGTCCTAAGTGTTGAAGTCATACTAAAACTTAACTGTGTGAGTATATCAGCACTGTGACCCCTGTTCCTTCTGTCAAAAATATATATTTCGGCAAAACAAAATATACTACTGACGCATTTTCCCTTGTTCTTCAAACCTGACTAACTGAAAATGCCAGGAGCAAGGCTAACCATTTCCGATTAGGAAAGAACACTGGATACCTATGCCTTTGCTTATTAGTCGTGTGGCAAAGACAGGCCCCTCCCGTCGCACCCCCGTTTAAAAAGAAAGGGAAAAAAGGGGGGGGAAATGCCCTGAAAACAAACTGCAGAATCTTCAATCTTGGTGTTTGGACACAAGAACATAAACTAAGGAGAAACTGCCCTTGGATGAGTAAATTTTAAAAATCTCTGAAATGCTCAAGGGGCTGAAATGCCCTTGTAGGAAGGAAGCTGGGTATCTATCCCACCAGTTAAAGGACCCCCCTCCCAATTCGCCTTCTGCCCCACTCGCCTGGAGCCGCCGCCCCGCCCCCCTCCGTGGCCTTGGCCTTCGCGGGTTGCGGTGGTTCCCGGAGCCAGCCAGCGCCGAGCTTTCACAGAACCCGCCCTCTTCCTGGCCAATGCCGGGAGAGGGGCCACGACCTTAGGGGGCTTGGTGCCACACGAGTGTGGTGCAGCAGAGCCAATTGGAGGAAAATCCCACCTGGTCTCCTAAGCCTTCCAATGGAGTGAGATACTCTCTTGGCGAAACTACTTAGGGGGCCCAATGGCGAAGGAACCTTCACTCTGACCAGAAGTCGAGGCCAATGGAGTGGAACACTCGCCCTCCAGCTGGCAGAAGAAGCCAATGGGATGAAAAGATTCCGCCTCCGGGGTGGTGGCGGAGCCAGCGGAGTGAACGGCACCACCCTCTGGGATAAAGGGCAGCAAGCGGCCCAGAAGCGCGACCAATGGGATGGTAGGGCTAGCTCGCGGCGGCCGGCGGAGCCAATGGCTGCCGCTCACCGGCTCCCGGGCGGACCCACCTCGGGCTGGCGGCGGGCCCGCGTACTGGGGTTCGGAGAAAGGCTCGGCGACTGAGGGGCAAGATGGCGGCCGCCCTGGTGCTGGCTGCTGGGCTGTGCGTGGCGCGCAGGGCGGTGGCGGTGGCGGTGGCGGTGGCGGGGCCGCGGGGGGCACAGGTGAGAAGCGACCGTGGGAGCTCAGAGGGCGTCCCGCGGGCACTGCCGTTCTCCGGGCCAGGGGTTGGCGTTCCTCCCCCAGGTGCGCGCGGCCCTGCGGCCTCGCGGGAACGGAGCCCGGACGCCGGGCAAGGAACGGCGCCCCTCCCGTGGTGCAAGCTCCGGGGCTGTGCGGTGAGGTCGGGCTGGTGGGCGGCGGTGGCCGACGCCCTGCACCGGTGGGGGCGCCGAGGTCGCGAAAGGTCAGTGGATTGGCTGCTGCCTTCTAAGCCTACCTGAAACCCAGGTGACCGAACGCCTGCTCCGGGCAGCCTCCTCGGCGCCCCCTGCAGGAAGTGAAATTTGTCTTCTTGGAGCCCGTCTCCTGCCCCTGTCAGGCCCCTGGCCGCCTGAGCACGTGTATTAACCTCTCATCTTCTCCACTTGTCAGAGGGGTCAGGTTCATCCCACCTCTTTCTCCCACAATGTGACAACACTGACTTCAGCCTTCTCTGAGCCCCTGGAAAACTGGGGCCTCCCTACCCGCAATCCCCTGGGGCTGGGGTTGCTGAGTTCACATAATTCTTCCCTTCACTGATTTAAGGGACTGAAGTTAAAATTCACAGAGGTCAGATCTGACATCAAGACGTGCTTGTGTCAAACTTGAATAAAACGGGTAACACAACTGAAAGATCAGGCAACAGGTAATGGAAATAAGTGGAAACTTAGTAACAAGGTGTGAGTAAATGGAAAGGGCTCCAGTGGTCTCAAAGGTGATACAAACCACTCCCTTTATTTTATATTTAAAGCCAAGAGGAGGGATTTATCTAAGGTAATTCAGTGGTAAAAGAAGAACTGGGACCTAAGTGTCCAGTTCTCATCCTGTGTCCTTTCCTCCGAACAGTAACTAAATTTACTAGACACGTTAGGAACAGGAATCAATTGCACTGCTGAATCCTGCATTGTAATACGGCCTTTATCTAACCAAGCTCAGCACTATAACCCTACTCTCTGCTGCTGATGTTCTGAAATTCAGGAACTTGTCTTTTGGATGGGAAACACTAATAGGTTCTTAGAAGAATGAAGTTAATGACTAACAACCCAGCCTTTGCCAGCCCTGACTCACTATATGGGAAAGGTATTGTCAGCTCCCTCCCTCGGGTATGTCTGACCCACCTTCAGGTCCGAGGAGCTGCAGGTGTGACTGATGGAAATGAAGTGGCCAAGGCTCAGCAGACAGCTCCTAAGGGAGCAGCCCCAACGGTCTTCTCCCGGATCCTGGATCGAAGCCTCCCAGCTGATATTCTATATGAGGACCAGCAGGTGGGGTGCCTTTAGGGGTCGTCCCCTTAGGAACTTGTGAGATACATCAGCCTGTTAAAAAGTAATATGGTGGCCTCTGGCCTGTCACTACTCCCAGTGTCTTGTATTCCGTGATGTGGCGCCTCAAGCTCCTGTGCACTTCCTTGTCATTCCTAAGAAGCCCATTCCTCGGATTAGCCAGGCTGAAGAAGAGGACCAGCAGGTGGGAAGAGCAGAGCCAACATTTGGCTTTGGGGCAGGGGAGCCCTGGACAACAGCTAGAGGTTTTTCTCCCTGTAAATGAAGCCACCTGTCTCCCTCCCCTTTCCCTGTAGCTTCTAGGACACCTTCTCCTTGTGGCCAAGAAGACAGCAAAGGCTGAGGGCCTGGGAGATGGATACCGACTTGGTGAGTAACTTTTGGTCCTTGAGCCCCTCACCTATAAATTCTCAAACCTGTCCCTCAGTCTGATCTTTAGTCTTTGACCTTTCCCGTGTTCCATAACCCCATGCTCTATTTCAGTGATAAATGATGGGAAGCTGGGTGCACAGTCTGTGTATCATCTGCACATTCACGTACTTGGGGGTCGACAGCTCCAGTGGCCTCCAGGTTGAACCTACCAACTGACCAAGAACCCCAGACCTGGATGCTTGGAGCGTGGAGGGGAATGAACCCTATGATGCTAATAAACTTGATCTCCCTCGATTTTGGATCACTGTCTTAAATATATAAAGATACCACAAATAGGAAAGAACACTGATTAAACACAATGATCTCTATCAACTATGGACTGAGTGAGAGACATTAAGGAGACCCATCCTGTAGTTAAAGAAGCATTTGCCTATAGGTCTGTGAGTCCTCATGACTAATGATCCACCTGGGTCAAGCTTCTAGAAAAGTAGCAGTAGGAATAAGCCTGTGTGAGTAGGAAGAGATTGAAACCCAGGGGGGAGACCTGCTCAATCCTGGCCCTCATTCAAATGCCAGGCCGAGTTCTAGGGGTTCTGAGAGGAGGATGGCCTTAACATGAGGGCCTTTTACTGAAGAAGTAACCACACGAAAAAGGCTGCCACCCTTTGACTGATCCCCATGTCTCACCGTTTTGCTTTTGAGTTGTCTAATGTATTTTCAACCTTAAACATTTTAAAAAGACTACCTCCACTTTTGAGAATGAACTAAGGGGAAGTTACTGTTGCCCCTACACAAGCACACCAAGTATGCTTTAGTCTGATACCCCAGCCCTGTGCTTGTCTCCAACACAAAGAACCACCTTAGAAAGCCTCAAAAGAATCACGCTTAAGTGTAGAAGGCAGGGCCGTAGGCCAGCCGTACCTTAAAAGCTGGGCTGAGGCGGAAGGGAGTCTGAATGGAAAGCAAACTTCCCAGACAGCCGCAGGTTGAAGACTTCCGCCCCGCAGAGAATTTGCCTTCACCCCCCCCCCCACACACACTTCCGCCCAACTCTAGTTCTGCGCAGACTCCTGGAATTATTTGCCGTCTCTATGGCAACCCAGTAGCTGCTGCCGGAAGATGGAGACCACCGAGCCTACCAAGGGATCGCGGTCTGGGTGAGAGCGGCAGCTTTGGCTGCAGGTGTAAGGGTACAAGAAAGGTCAGCCGACTTACTGGGCTGCGCTTTTGATGTATTCGCTTCCTTTTAGATCTTTGGACGTGCAGCCTGGCGCTGGAGGGCTCAGGTCTTCTTCAGAACCGTTTCCTTTGGATGGCCGTCCTAGGTCGGTCCTGGCAGCTGCAAATACTGCATCTGCAGCTGCCTCCACCGCCAAAACCGATGCGTTATCTACGAAGACCCGAGTCCGCTACTCTGAGCCGAGTGTTCTCATGGACCGCTCCTCTGACAGTCTTCCTGGGGAGCCCTGCACTGGAGCCAGCTTTACCCACAAGATAGACCAGAGAAGACTTGGCTTTGAGCCTGTCTATGCTTCCCGTTTCACCCAGGATCCCTGTACTACAAATGACCGTAGCTCTAGTCCTGGCCCTGTTACTGGCTCCAGTTCTGGTCCTGGCCATGGCTCTGGCCCTGGCTGTGACTCTGGTCAAGGGACTGGTTCTGATTCTGGCCCTGGTCCTGCCACTGAATCTGGGCCTAGTCCAGACCGTGGCCATGACCCTCAGCTCAGCCTCTGCAATCTCCCAAACTTCAGAAACCTTGGGGCAGAGCTGATCCCTAATTATTCCTGCTGGAATCACTACTGCTGCTGGGAACCTCAGAAACAACCCTGGAAAAGTTTGCAAGTCCCAGAACCTGGTGCACGAGGGCAATGGAAGACCCCCCAAGTTGAAGAGAAGTGTAAGGTTCTCAAAGAAACATTGCCACGGGGACACTGCCTTCTCTACAACTGGGAGGAGGAGGTATTAAGGTTTCAGCCTTTTCCTGAAGACTGCCCCCAGTTTCCTGGGGGAGGCAGTAGTTTATTATGAGGGTGGGTACCATAAAGGATATCTTGGTCACTCACCTTGGGGCCCACAGAGAGCCACCAACCACCTGGATCGAGTCCCAAGCATGCAGGATGGCTCCGAGAGTTTCTTCTTCCGACATGGACACCAGGGACTGCTGACCCCACAGCAACAGTCACCCATGTCCTTCAGGACCACCCAGAAAGACTCGTACCAGCCCCCACGAAACTACTATCAACCAATTCGAGGTGGGAAGCATGAGAGAATGGGCATGAGCCCATTAGAGAAAAGAGAGAGGAAAAGAATTTCTGGTAGGACTGTGGATTGTCTGATGGGTAGAAGGGTAAAACCCGATGATTTTCCTTCCTTTTCTCACATTTGTTTCTTCTGGGCCTGCTTCTTAACCAGACTCCCCCACTCTCTCCACTCCCTGCCCTCCCACAGGAAAGCGGGAAGCCATGCTGGAGATGCTCCTGCACCATCAGATCTGGTAAGAAGCTGGGAGAAGGGTAAAGGGGATGGGGGAAGACAAAAATCTGGAAAGAATGGCTCTGACATCTCCCAGGACTATATAGTAAAGAGGTGCAGGCAGAGCAGGAACCCACAGGGAAGCACTCTGAGGTCGAGTCTGTGACACACCATGACTACCAAAAGGAGCTGGTACACGCCGGGCCTCCTGCCCCAACCAAGGTGAGAGTTTATCCCATCCGACTTGTACAGCTGGCTTCTAATGGGCTGTGGGGAAGTAGCAGAGGTTAAGAGAGGAAGATTCAAACCAAGAGCTTTTCAGGTTTTCTCCCTTACAGCCTCATGACTACCGTCAGGAGCAGCCTGAAACCTTTTGGATACAGAGGGCACCGCAGCTACCGGTGTGTGAGGGTGTTGGGAGTCGGGGAGAAGAAGGAGGGGAAGAGGCTGTTCTGTTCAGGCTTGGCGCAGAGCAGGATCTGTCCTCATTCTGGCTCTCCCCTAGGGTGTCAGTAACATCAAGACACTGGACACACCATTCCGGAAGAACTGCAGTTTCTCAACACCAGTGCCTTTGTCTCTGGGGCAGCCTTTGCCCTATGAACCTGAGAATTCTTCCCACCAACTGGGAGAAATATCCTCCCTTGCCTGTCAGGGAGCACAGGGTGGGGAAATGGGTAGAACTACTATCTAAGAGTTGAGGCGGGAAGAGGGGTGTGGAATACAGAATCCATTTCCGTCTGTACTGGAGAGGTGGGAAGGAAGGCGATTCTGTCTGTACTTGGTGAAGGGGCTTTCCATAAAGGGTTCTCTCTCACCCTGAGACTGCTATTTCAGTGAGTCCACGCGTTACCATGTTCACATCCCATAACCTTTCCTTGGACTTGCCCCTAACCCAGACTCTGACATCATGACATTTTTTGTTGTTTTATATTTGGCCAAAATATTCTGGTTTAGATACAGATATTTACAGAAGGTAAGGAAGAAGGGAACCTAGCCAGAGCGAGGCAGGTATATGTACAAGGCTGAGCTGCAGAGAGCAACAACTTCCATATAAGGCAGGGTTTGTGCATGTTGGTTTCCATCTTACACAACAATGTCCATTTCTGGTGTGTGGAGAGATGGTGACCACTGCCCACCCAGGTACCAGCAGCAGGAGATTGTCTGACTTGGGAAGAAGTAGGTTCTACAGGAGTCCAGTGGGTCCTTTCCGCTCTCCTAGGAGCCAGTAAGTTCGCATCTTTCCTTTTCCCTGGAAGTGGGGGAGTGAAGATAATTCAGATTCTTCTATGGTATTCCTTCATCTCTGTCTTTCCCCCCTGGTCCCATAATTGCTTTCATCCTCCCTTTCCCTGATCCCTCCTCATGGCCTGCCATCACCTTCATCTCCACATCCCCCCGAAGCTCTAGCTGGAAGCATCCTAGCTCATCCAGGGCATCCTTGGTGGTAGAGGAGACATGGATCTTCAGGGCTGGAGTGGGATGGGGTGTGGGGATGGTGGGGAGATGAATCAAAGAAAAGACAATAGAAGAATTGGCGGTATCGGAGAGAGCGTTACCAGACCACCACCCCTCAGGAGGCTCTCAGTCTTTCCCAGGGCACAGGCACTAGAACCAAAATATGTCCAAGGATGGGGCAGTCAGGAACTGTGGTATCTCAGATTGAGAGATTTGGAGGAACTCTGAAAAGAAGAAAAGGACAACACACATTGAGGCTAAGGCTGGGGTTGAGGGCTGATGTTTTACCTTGACCGTTAGACTCCATGCGGGAAGCAGTGTTCACCGTGTCTCCAAAAAGACAATAGCGGGGCATCTTCAGGCCAACAACCCCAGCGCAGACGGGCCCTAGGAGAAGAAACAGGTTGGGAGAGCCTGGGGAAAGCAGACACAAAGACTGGGGGGAGAGTCAGCCTTACCCGTGTGGACCCCTATGCGTAGCCTCAGCTGGTCATGGGGTCGGTGGCGGATGCGGAAGGAAGAAACTGCCTCCAGTAATGCTAGGGCCATACGAGCAATTTCCGGGGCATGGCGCTGACCGTTTCGGCCTGGGAGGCCAGATACCACCATGTAGGCATCTCCAATTGTTTCTACCTGATTGAGATGGGGATTAAAATGTCACCTCTATGTGTGTCAGTGGGAATGGAGAAGCATAGAAGGAGAAAAGCTGGACACCACTATGAGTCAACCGAACAGCCTGGGAGGCCGGCACATTGACTGGAAAATAAGTGAGAATTGGCGGGGGTAGAGGTGGGTGGGTTCAGTTTAAGGGAATCTTTAAATCCTCCTATCCTACCCCTGTACATGGCGAACATTCAGTAAATGTTTGCTGAATGAATGGATACCCTCTCTGCAACAAGACATGGACAAATAAGTTCTGCTGTCAGGAAATGGGAAGCAAGAAAACAGGGCTGCCCTGAAGAGCACAGAGGCTGGTGAGGAGGGCAAGCAGGCCCATTGAAATAGGCCTCAGACAGCCTGAACTGCGCAAGGTAAGAAAGCAGCCGCTTGGCTTTGTTAATTGTACTGAAGTACACAAAAGAATGGCCTGTTTTTAGGAACTAGACACTGAACCATTTAGGGATAAAGGGGCATCATGCCTGCAACTTACTCTCAAATAACCCAGAAAATAATTATATAGATTTTTAAAAAAATAAGGCAAGTGAGGTAAATTACAAATAACTGGTGATTCTGGGTGAAGAGTGTACGGGAGTTCTACATTACAGTATGAAAGACATGGTAGAGTAAGTCCAAAGGGAAGGGACAGGAATAGTATTAACTATGCAGTATTAGACACTTTCCACAATAAATCTATTATTCCTAACTTATAGATAAAATTCCTGACACTCAAGGAGATTTCCAGTTACTTGCCCAAGGCCACACAATTAGTCACAAAATCAACACCTAAATCCCAATGGTTTTTACTCTGAAGTATAATAAAGCTCGCTCTGTGCCAACTCAATGACTTAACAAAATTTTTTACAAGGTAGCCTGTCCCTCGCCCTAATAAATCATTCTGTACCTACATCGCATATGATTCTTCCATGTCTAGAAGGGATGGAGAGATTGAGAAAAGATGGATAGGCTGTATTTATAACCCTAGGCAAAAAGTGGCAGATGGGGGCTAAATCCTGTGATGGTTCTGATTAGGGAAGCCTAAAGGTTCACAAGAAATCAGAAAGATACATTAAGAGGGCCAGAGCCTCATTTGTCTACAAAGGGCCCCCAGTATTAGGGTGTTGAGAGCCAGGAGGGCAAACTGACCATCGAGCAGGGTAAGGCATATAGGGTTTGGAGAGATTGGGTTTTCAAGGTGGTCTCCAAAGGAGGGTAGCCCCAGCTCTCACCTTGTAGACGTCAAAGTTGTCAATTATGGCATCAAAGCAGGTATACAGGTCATTAAGAAGTGTCACCACCTAACAAGGATGGGAAAGTAGAGTCCCTGAGACTTGAGCCTAGCTTTCTAAGAATTCTTAACCCATAAGCCCTAACAAAATATGGGATCTCCAGAACAAATGAATCTCCCCTACTATCAAGGCTCCCTATGCCCCCAACGAAGCTCCCCCAGATCCCTATCCCGCCCCCTACTTCTCACTCCTGGTTCTCACCTGCATGGGGGTGCTCTCTGCTGACAAAGCTGTGAAGCCAACAATGTCACTGAAGTAGATGGTAACACTGTCAAAGGCCTCAGCCTGTACAGTCTCTCCCCGTTTTAACTGCTCTGCCACTGAACTAGGAAGCAAGGGCCAAACTCAGAGAGAGAGGATGGGAGGAGAGAGGAAATGAGTGCGCGGCAGAGCAGAGACGCATTATAACGTGAAAGCTAAGCCGGGTAGAAGAGAAGGAAGGTGACGGGACTAGCTCAAGGTAAAGTATTTAAGTGGTGGGGGTTGGAAGGGGACCCCTGGGGATGGGGGCTAAATGTCTCAAATTGGGATTGTCCTATATCTACTCGCTAGAGCAAAGGCATGGTAGAGCCGTGTCCTAAAAAGAAGGGATGGGAAGCCAGGAAGAAGGCAGCATATCTCATTCAGGGACAGAATGAAAACACACAGGCTATAGCCAAAAAGTCTCACTGCACCAGGATGAAACAAAGCAGGGTTCTAAAAGCTGGGAAGTGAGTTCTCAGGAGCTTGAGCAGGGAGAACCCAACAGCGCAGAATACCAAAGGAAAATCTGGGAAGGTGACCAAAGTCTCACTGGGGTAGAATTTGGTAGAGCAGAGCCTCAGCCTTGCGTTTCTCCTCCAGATAGGCCTGTGTGCGCTCTTCCACCAGCTTCTCCAGGTTATTGGCATACTGCTCCATGCGCAACAGCAGGTTGTCCAATATGCTCGTGCCGCCCTCCCTGGGGGGAGGCCAGGATATGGTACCTGCTCCCACTCTCTCAAGACTCCCAGGACTTCCTACCCAACCTACCCTCTTTGCCCCACCAGCCCCACCTCCTCCACCAAAACTGATGAGGCTTCTATCCCTGGGGAGCCCATGCCCCTTCGTGCCCTCTCACTTGTTAAAGCGGCGAATGAAGCCCTTAATTTGTCCAAAGTCTGGCCGCTCAGTGGGTTCCTGGGCCCAACATCGCTCCATCAGCAAGACCAGCTCTTCATTCAGTTGGGTCCGGTCAATGCTTGGCCGGAAATATGGCCGCTGACCATTTCGGACCTTCTGGACAATCTCTGAGGGTGATAAAGGGTTTGGATGAAGAACAGTGTCCCCTAGGTAGAGGAGTCTATGGGCAGTAGATTGACTCTCACCTTTGGGGCTGAGGTCCAGGCCCTCCAAGTAGAAAGGGCCACTGCGAAGTGCTATCTCCTGTAAGATGATCCCGAAGCTATAGACATCAGCCTTCTGCATGCCCGTGGTTGGCAGTGGGTTCCCGCCCAACAGTTCTGGGGCAGTCCACAGCTTCTCTGAAAAGAGGGAATAGGCTGGCCAGGTCCTCAAAAAGAGTGTCCCCAAGCCCATAATACTCCCCATATTACTGTCATTCCATTTCCCTCTCCCACACTCCCTAGGTGGAAATGGTCAAGGCCAGAGCAGAAATATAAAAGTGGGTTGTGGGGGAGGGCCTCACTGGCATAGAGGGCGTGGCTGTCATCAGGTTCAGCAGTTGAGCGGAAGCTGGCCAGGCCATAATCTGTGATTTTGAGCACAAAACGACTATCCACCACGCAGTTGGAGGACTTGAGACTCCCATGGGATGCAATAATGCTGTTATGGAGGAAGGCCATGCCCTGCAGGATACAGATCAAGTCATGGGTTTGAATTATATCCAGCTTAGGATACCCCCTTCTCCATGAGATGGGCATTAACTAGGTGTCTAAAGAGCTTGGGACCATAAAAACAATAAGCTACTTTTGGAAGGTGTTCTTTACAGTAAGTTTCTACGAACGGAAGTGGGCAGAATAGGAGAGTCATCCCTTCCTGGTACCATTAACAGTATATTGGCACCACAGCACCAGGGACAGGTGAAATGTTTAAGGGGTGGGACAAGGGGAGCTATAAGTTATTGCCCTGGAAAGGGCAGTCAGTCTTCTGAGTAGTGAACAGAACTATGAAGATAAACTCCAAGCATGATATGACTGACACTCATGATGGCTTCAAATGTATGGCCACTACTTAGGAAGACGTGGCTAGAGACCCCGGTATCCCGAGTACCTAGATGCATTGAGGAAAACTAGCCACTTGCAAACTTTAACATACAGCCATGTCTGGGTAGGCAAGTCAGGATGGAGGAAGAAAGCAGTCTACTAGAGAGAATGCTGGGGAAGAGAGAAAGTGGAAAAAATAATCAA